TTAGAGTTTTCAAGCGATCCCCTCTGGTGCATTTGAGGCCGAATATCTTGCTATCCGGATCGAGACAGAAATTTTTAACCTCTTCAAGACTACCGATCCAAAGTACAAGCAACGTGTTCGGACACGGGTTATGAACTTGAGGGACTCCAATAACCCCAGTCTCCGCATCAATGTGCTAATGGGGCACGTGAAACCCGAGAGATTGGCCTCAATGACCTCTGAAGTATGTTAGTTGCTCTACTTTATTCCATACAGTTTCGAAGATTTGTCTGTACATATGACGCCGTGTCTATTTTGCTCGTGATTTTCTTTGGAAACAACTTGATGCGACATCACAGTTAAGACCGCAAGTGCTGACTACTGCTTACGCAGTGGCTAGTAGTGTTGAGTCACTCCTATCGCCAATGTCAACTTTTGTGGACTGATATTAGGGGGAAAATACATAAACTTGTCCAGGTTGTTGACCAGCCATCTCTTTCATTACTCCAACTGGTCAGCATTGCTTTTTTTCAAGTGATCTGAGTCACCTCGACTTGTGAGCCGACGAAGAGCATTTAAATGCCGCGGAAAATATTCATTAAATCGTAAACTTCTTAATAATTTATGCGTATCGTAACGATTAGAACTTTAACAATCCAGTGGCTGTTAAACCTTTGTCATTTACATTCTGAGACAGAAATGAATGATTTCAGTGGCCGGTACCTCATGCTCTATAAAATTCCAGAGTCGAGAAGTGGGCCCTTGGGTGTCATTTACAGTCTCGTTTAGACATAATTTTTCCCACTTGATCGAAGTTTTGTACTCTGATCCTTTTACGTTCATCTTACACAAGACCTCGCCAACCGGTTGCTGTCTTTGTTTTGAGGGAAAATCTTGGTCTTTCCCTTGTTTGCCTACAGAAAAACAGAATACCATGATTTTGACATATATCGGGTTACGCATAAATATTGCAGCTAGTGGCTATAATTTTACATCCTGTAGCTATTGTCGGCTTTGTTAACAATTGTGGTACGTTGCCCACAGCCCGCTGGAGTGCATTTACAACAAATTTCATGTTTTCCTTAGAATAGATGGCACGTTAAATAGTTTATTTGTTTTTTGGGAGATCCATATCCGCTTAGAGGTATTTCCAACCTTTGTACTGTAGAAGTTAAACCTTTTAAAATTTGATCTCAGATAATTGCCTTAATATACGTCCATACTCCAGGTCGAATGCGTCTGTAATTTTTACCAACTTTCTTTGCGATACTAATGCTATTAAACCTCTTCTAGTTCATTCTTATCACGTGACGGGGAGCACTACTGTCATGAAGGGGGCGCAGATTCGTTTAGGATGAAGCACACCTGTGCATAGTCCACTCTACCGTCTACCCATATCGACCGTGTTCCATTACCAGGTTGGAGCCGAGAAAACTGGAGGTGGGCGCAGTGACGGACGATATTTAGTCTTTCGTTCACCCGACCGCTAACAGAACTCATCTGTCCCACTCTGCTTAGGGTCTCTACAGAGGCCCTGGTAGCCGTATCAGCTAGTAGTATAGGTAGATAGTATTATTAGGAAAGACAAGGGAGACTGGAATGGCAACTTCTGGCTTATTAGCCATCGTCAGCCAGTCATACCCAGAACCAAGTGGCGCCTCGCCTGAGCCCCGAGCTCATGACCTTTCTCGACCATTGTCAAACGCCACGACTATCGAGTTACGAGCTCGTCATCTTGCTGGCTTAGGTCGAAGGATATTGGCAGTTGTTGATGAAGGCTCACCTGACCAATAACAGAATGCGCCAGTCCCTCTCTGCCTAGGGTCACGCCAGAGGCCCTGGACAGCCGTAGCAGCTGGTAGTATGGACAGATAGTATTGCACTTATACTTGCCCCTCGCGTGCCGATTCTTGCAAACACACCTGCACTAGTATTCAGCCTGGAGTTTCAGGCCACGCTAAGGAACCATTGCGATCTGGCTGTCAGTCCAAAGGAAAACCCAGTTAGTGTATCAGTTGGCAGCCCTCCAAGTCACGGCTATAGATGCATCGTGATAGTTTAACAGCAGACCAGCTTCATTATATTACAACCGATAGCACTCTGTGCAGGCAGATTTGAACTTAAAAGTCGACTTCAATCACTCTTTTCTCTCCCATACTAGCGGCAAGTACGAGTCAAGTCCACTAGAGAAATAAGGTTGGACGCAGTGGCTGGCGTGACATGACATCTCCGTCTAACGTGGATCACATAGTCAAACATGCACGCATGTAACGCATCGTTCGTCATTACCGAAATTGAAAAACGTAATCGGGGGATGGTTATATGAATGGTAGGTGATGTTTTAATTATGCTTTTATTGTATGCGCATACAACCGAATGGAGGAAGACTATGCATAAATGCGCGACCTGACTGACGGGTACTGGCCCCAGCTGGTTAATCCTTCGTGTTGCGATAGATTCGCAGGTAATTTTGTACAAGTGACCAGCAGTCTTGCTAGATTTTGAGTATATAGACCGCCATCGACTCGGGAGACAATTTCCTCCTTACTTTGTCTATTGGACAGTGACCTCACCCTCACGTGCTTGGAACTGTCCTGCTTGGGCAGTCAGCTTGCTGTTTCGTATTGGTGGGTTCCATACAAGTGGTAAAGTTGGGCGGGTAAAATCGATTCAAGTATGATTAAATCCACGACGCAAGGCATGGCGTTTTTAGCTCAAGTGGTAGATCGTTGGCTGCGTTAAGGTCTTCCCTGCTATGCGGGTTTCACTCCCGCCAAACGCGGCGAGTTTTTTCACGATTGGGTCAACTAAATTAAACATTAAAAGTTGACTACATTTCTCTCGAGAGGGGCCTTCTTTTAGTTGGTGATGCGGCTTGCAAACACTGGTCCTTCCACTTGTTTGTGGATAGACTGACTGATTTAGGGACCTTCACTCGCGTTGCATTCTGAAAATCATCAAGGCGACGTCAACGCAGGTGAAATCAGTCATTCGGCGCCTGGAGATCAACTCGCCAGGATTCGGAGACAAGACGGGAATACCGTCCCCCCTGGGCCTTGTTACTCATCCCGAGTATCGCATTAACCAGTTCTTCTTGCGGAGGTTTTATAGGAGTTAAGGTTAAAACGGTTAACCCTAACAGCTAAAATCATTCAAGCCCTGGTTCCTTAGGAGAATGGAGAGAAGACGGTGGAAAGGCGGAGTAGACGGAACAGTGTATTCAGAAGACGAAGATGCGATCACTGGAACAAGAGTTTTATTTGCCTGAC